CAGAAATCCTATAATTTTACCTACAAATGTTTCAGTGTGCATATCTAACTTATTAGAACTTTATTTTTAAACACAGTCATGACAGTATTAACATACTTAAGAAATTAACAGTAATTATGTAATATCGGGTAGATGTTTTAAATAGTTGATGCTTTGAACTTCAGGGGTGAATCTAATGTATGAAGCTATATTTTTCCTGACTATGTTTTAATAGTGTGTATTTCTTGTCAGGGGAAACAATGGGACAGTGGTGAACAATGAAGGGTTAAAGGGTCCCCTTGAGCCTGAGGCCACATCACCTAAGGAAAGATGAACACAGCACAGGAACTTACCAGAGACAAAAGGCCAAGATATTTCCATTTGCCATTCTATGCTTATAAGCGTTTTTAACGTATACCCTCAAGTAGGCAACACTGCAGGCTGGGAATGTCTTTCACTAGCTGCTTCTAATCAGAGAATGTAAACTAAGAAAGGTGGAAAGCTGCTGTCAACAGGCAGAACTTACGTGATTTATCTACTTAAGACGCAGGACAAGCGTGTGGCGTAAAGTCAAGGACTGAGTGAGACGTAAACGAAACAAAGCTTCGATGTGGACAAATTATGTGGAATTTCAAATAGATGGATGTAACAAGTAGTGAAAACAGGTATCAGAAAAGGAGAAGATAAAAAATAATCAGTGTCATCAGTCAGAAAACGTTAAAGTGAAATTTAAGAAAATACTTATGAACAACTAAATTCATTCGTGGACTGAGGTAGAAAGTATTAGATTTTCTGAGAAGTTTTTCTTCCTATAAGGAGGATTTCGAGCATATACTATTCCTGCTTGTGTGATGTCAGATTTGGTCACTTTAGTGAATACACCACAAACACTGGTAAGACATTGCATACATGCCCTGGTTGTGTGGTTCATAGCTTTACACGTTGCTAATTTGTTGCTATTGCTTCATTTTCCTGCATATCCACGTTGACTTGGTAATAGGCATTATCTCCAAAACAACCAAGTGAACCAACTCCAAGAAACTGTTTGGAGTTAAAAATTTGGAGGAGTAAAGGCGTTCACCTGCCCATTCCATATAAGACAGAAATCAGGAGCTCAGACTATGAGGTGCCTTTTAAACAGAACTAACCTTCTCTCTGCCCTTGTGCACATTACATCATGCTCTGCCTCAGGTCTCTCCTGCTGGAAATGGGGATGATAATGTTTCCTTCCTGCACGTTATCTTAAGGATGAAGTCAGGTAACACATGTCAACTTCGTAGGACATGGCGGCTGTGCGGAAGTGTGTGCAGGGTGACTACCCGTGTGCCACATTGGGTCAGGGTTAGACCCCATCGGGGTAGAGAGGAAGCTTCAACCAAACAAAACATAACATGAGAAACATCCAGAGCTTTGTGAGCTGAACACCAGAACCCCAAACACAACATTTCATCCTAAAATGTTGTGGTTAAAGTCTTCTCAAAAATTTCTAATTCCTTTATTTGACTGAAGTGACCAAGGCTTAGAGATGTCTGGGGGCTTGCCTGGGTGCAGCCATAGGGGACCCATTAGGTTTTCCAGCTTTTGATGTGGGGTTAGTTTATACCAGATGTACAAAACTGTGGTGACCTGGTTTAGCTGTGTCCCCAATGAAATCTCATCTTCAACTGTAGTTTCCATAATCCCCACATGTCATGGGATGGACCCAGTGGAAGGTAATTGAATTATGGGGGTGGTTACCCTATGCTGTTCTCATGTTATCAGTAAATTCTCATGAGATCTGATGATTTTATTCGGGGCTTCTTCCCCTTTGCTCAGCACTTCTCCTTCCTGTGGCCCTGTGAAGAAGGTGCCTTTTCTCAGCTTTGCCTTCTGCCATGATTACAAGTTTCCTCAGGTCTCCCCAGCCATGCTTGACTGTGAGTCAATGAAACCTCTTTTCTTCATAAATTATCCAGTCTTTGGGATTTCTTCATGGCAGTGTGAAAACGAACTAATACATGTGGTGTGACTTTCCACGTCATAACTATTACTAGTGTGGAGGAAGTGACTTGTTTTTTTTTTAATATAATTGTTGGTAATATGTACATAAGTGGGGGGAGTAAATGTCTGTGTCTTCCTGATTGACTGTAAAAATCTTTCCAACTAGCTCGTGCAAGTGGTCAAGAACTGAGGCCAAAATGTGTTGCTTTACGGAAATTTAGCAGACTTATACTACTGATCCAATTTTTTTGATGAGGTCAACTTGTTAACTTGTGTATTTAGAAAAACTATATCAAATATTGAAAATACTGTCATATGAAATAGAAATTAGCCCATAGACCTAGAACACATTCTGAACATAGCAGATCATTAAAATATATCCATTACATTGAATTGAATTAGACTTAGTCTGTAGCTTTCCAGAGGCTAAAAGTAAGACCAACAGGTGCCATTTATAAAATTGAATAATATTCGAACCCTTAATACAGTCCAACAGTGGAATAAGTTGCCGTGTTGAGTTGTAAGCTATCCATTCCTGGAACTATTCAAGAAGCAATCAAAAGGCTACCTGTTAAGGGTGGATGAGGTGGGGGCAGAAATGCTCCCATCGTGCACTCTGGCATTTAGTATGATGAACACAATACTCACTTTTTTCAATGGTGTGGATCTTGAAATTTCCAGAGTTACACATCAGAAACAATAACAGTCACTATATTAAATTGCTCATACTGAGATTTCATTTTTAAAGTAAATGTAATGCTTTCCATACCGTATTTCAGAGACTCAATATAAGTGTGGATTCTGTAACTAAAAGGTGAACTTCTCAAAAGCTTGTCATATCCTATCATTTACAAATCACCACTGCCTCTCACAGTATATCACACATTGTAGGTACTTCATACATCGATTCAATATATGAACAAGAAAACAAAAGTGACTGAATTTTAACTGAGTTTATGAGAATTTAGAACATATTTTGAAATACAATTTTAGCGTTCACAAAACTAAATTTATACTATGAGATTAGTTTTTTCTTAAGGTGGAATTCATGACACTTCTATGTGTAATGGCAGACCATTCAAACACTGGATGGTTAGCTATGTTTTCAATAGCAAAGGACATGCAGTAATATGACCACATGTAAAATGAAGCAGGATTCTAAAGATATTGTCCATCTCAAAAGTCTCAAAATGTACATAGCCTTGGATCAGGCAGTTCTACTGTGAATTTATCTTAAGGAAATCTTTAACAGTGTGAAAGGTTTTAGGTAAAGAATGGTTGTTAAAACCGTGTTTATAAGGCAAAAATTTAAAAATCCAACTTATGAAATTACAGTAATTGATGAAGTATATTTAATATATCCATAAAGTAGAATGCTAGATAAGGTAACAGAATAAAATAAGGTAACAGAAAAATAGTTCTTCAGGCTGGGTGCAGTGGCTCACACCTGTAATCCTAGCACTTTGGGTGGCCAAGGTGGGTGGATCATTTGAGGTCAGGAGTTTGAGACCAGCCTGGCCAACATGAGGAAACCTCGTCTTTACTAAAAATACAAAAATTAGCCAGGTGTGGTGGCATTTGCCTGTAATCCTGGCTACTTGGGAGGCTGAGGCAGGAGAATCACTTAAACCTAAAAGGCAGAGTTTGAGGTGAACCGAGATTGCATCACTACACTCCAGCCTGGGTGACAGAGCCAGACTCTGTCTCAAAAAAGAAAAGAAAAAAAAATAGTTCTTCATACAGGAAGATACATACAATGCATAAAGGAAGAAAGGAGTAAAGAACACATGGTACAGTTTGACCCACGTTAATTTAGAATCTTCTTGAAGACTATCAAATAAATCGGTCTTGAAGAACTCTCAACAACATAGTACTGGTGGTTCTCATTGAATTTTTGAATTTCCAGTGCTTTTAAAAGTTATATTATCTATTATGCTAATATTTCAATTTTTCTACAAAGGCATACACTAATTATGTAAAGAAAATAAAAGTTTAAAAATTTGATCACTCTGGCAGTTTGATATTAATGCAAAGAATGACATTGAAAGGATAAGTTGCTAAAGATATTGACACCAAAAATTAGAGAAGGTACACAGGTAATGCCTTGAAAAGTAGGAATTTCAAAAAAATTAGTTGTGTAGCAAATAGAGAACATTGGGTCCAACAGATTGGTTCATTTCTGCCTTTGCTGGAAATTTAATTTGTAGCATTTCTCAATTCCACCCACTCATAATTGGAAGAGAAAGTGAAGGCCACAAAAGCTGAGAGTCTGCTTCGAAGTCTCCCAGCAGCAAGGGCTGCCCAGACCTCAGACCTCCACATGGTCAGGCAATGGCCTTTCTTTAATAGAGCTGAACATTTACACGATTAAGTCAAAGACCGATTTCAAAAGGGACACACATGATTGCCAAGGAGGTGCCTCTACTGAAAAAGGAAACTACAGCCTCAAAGTGGGGCTCTGATTGGAGGCAAGGTCTGAAGTCTGCGCACCTGTGGCTACTTGTCCGATGTCCCTCTGCCTCAGTTTCCTCATTTCTAAGAGGTATGGTGGCAACTTTCCTATGGGGTACTTGAGGGCCAAAGGAGAACAAGCTGTGTCTACAACATGGCCTCACACAAAACAGGCACTCAGGTTCAAGGGAAAAAGTAGGGATGGGAGGGCTTTGAAGTTCGGAAGGTACCACATAAGTGTGACAAGAGAAAGATGAGGAAATTAAACATGACTCTATCTTTTGGATCAATTTCTCTGCTTGATTTGGTTCATTTATGAAATATTTAGATTATAGGCAATGTTCTCATCAGGATAAAGAGATAAGAAAAAGTAATAGTTGATGTATGAATTTAACATGTGTGTGTAATTGACTAGACGACGTCATACTACTGAAACACGCAGGCCTTAAAATCAGTAAGAAATAACTGGTAGAAAAGAACCCAATTGCCTGAATTTTAAATCAGTCATTGCCTTGCGAGTTCTGCTTGTTTTCAGGTAACTTTCCTCATGTTCCTAACACAACTGTAAGATCTCGTCGCAGTTCACATACCACACACTGCGATTCCTCAAATGTCAACGTGGATCGGACAGACGTCCAGGTGACAGCCGCACACACCTTGTCCTCAGCTACAGCCTCCACACACCCTGCCCTGCATGTAAGAGAGGAGGAAGAAATGGTTAATGAAGCTGGGACTCTTTTCTCTTGAGGTAATGGGAATGGATAGTTTCCCTATATCTTGAGCTATTCTCATTACAGTATTGGAGGTTCTACACACACACCCACATACACACACACAGACACACACACACACTTGCTGAAATTTATCTAAGGAGTGGCCTTGGAGTGACGCACTCCTACTGTATCTCTTCAAAATTGTATTTCTTCTTCTTCCTCTTTTTTTTTTTTTTTTTTTTTTTTGAGACAGAGTCTTGCTCTGTTGCCCAAGCTGGAGTGCAGTGGCGTGACCTCAGCTCAGTGCAACCTCCACCTCCCAGGTTCAAAGGATTCCCCTTCTTCAGCCTCCCAATTAGCTAGGACTACAGGTGCACATCACCACAGTTGGCTAATTTTTTGTATTTTAGTAGAGACAGAGTTTTATCATGTTGGCCAGTATGGTCTTGATCTCCTGACCTTGTGATCTACCCATCTTGGATTACAGGCATGAGCCACTGTGTCCAGGCAGAGTTGTACATCTTTTATAATAAAAATCTTTCCTTTAATAACAATGAAAAAACAAGGTCAGTTGTGTGGAATGTGAGAGAGTCCCTAGGCCTCTGTCCTCTCTACAAAGACCCCTAACCAGGGAGATGCTCTGGAGGTGAGCTCCATGCCCAGGAGGCTGCTTGTCAGGCAGTGATTGCAGTTGCGAGAGAAGGTTCTGGATGTAGGGGGCGCACCATGAACAGCAATATGGCAATTTATGCAGGTTCAGTAAGGACTTCAACCCAGCTTGCCGATCTAAGGCTGTATCAGGACTAATGCCATGATGGAAATTAACGTGTTTAAAAAAATAGAAGCAAAGAAACATGCACAGAGGCAGGAAGGTTCTGATATTTCCTGTTTTCTAGGTTCACATGGAAAACGGATGGTGGAAGAAAAGGACAATAATTCCTTTGGAACATTAATTCAACTTGCTCTACCCACTAACCATATTCGTTCCAATTTTAGCAGTTCTGTGGGAGGAAAAATGAAACATGAAATTCTTCTATGCTTTCAACTTTGCATATTCCTTTACCTCTACCTGGAATGCCCTCCCCTTTCTGGATCTTCCCAATCTTGCCTAGAAGCCACACTTTCTATTTTGTGGTATGTTCCTGGTGACAGAAGAACAGAGATCTGCGTGGTAAGAGCATCACACATGACAACTGCTACCAGGACTGAGGATCCAGCTGAGAGGCTACACACTATGTCAGTCCTGGCAGGTTCAGCATCTCACTTAATCCTCCAAGTGGGCATTATTATTTCCCGGTACATTGTCTCAAGATACTACCTAACTCCTGGAGACACAGAGCTAGAGCATGGCCAGCAGGGGTTCAAAACCAGCTCTTCCCAACTCAAGGGTGCTTCCTGTTACTCCAGGCTGACCTCCAATTGCTCAAGCCCTCCAATACTTCAATTCTTTCGCTCTTCATTCCTCTAAAAGGAAACATTTAGCATTTCTGACGTGCTTTGGCTCACATACAGAAACATTCTCTTATGCAGATAGAATTGATGACTCTTCTAGGACAATGTCATTCATTACTAAAATCTGGAGAGCATTTTAGATCATTTAAAATCAAATAAAATATATGTACACTTTTAAAGGAAACAATGCAGATATCAAGTTTCAGATTATTTCTAATAAATGAAAAAATAAAACAAAGAACCCATTAGAAAACCTTTATGAGCATGTCTGGTCTTGAAATTTTACTTTATGACTGAAAATGACAATAAAGTTAGTTTATACTTAGGTTAAAGTGTGCTTGCCTATTGCCAGTCAAGAATAAATGGTCTAATCGTTTTAAGTGGCCCCACATGACTCGCTACACCTGGGTATGGCTGGAGAGACCATCTGTGGCCAAGAGTGCCAGCAACTCATCTTCCTAAAGCACCGGGCAGTGGCTCTGGAGAACTGCTCCAGGGCACAAGCCGACTTTCCTCCACACCCACCTGCACTTGAGAAGGCCACCTGCAGAAGGTGGGAGGGGTGCACAAAATCCGAAGGGACGGAGTGGAAAAGACTTAACGTCAAAGCAATGTCACCAAGTTCTATTTTCCATTCTGTTATCATCACCTAAGAGAGGGAGACATAGATACACACACACATGCACACACATGCACATACACATACACACTCTTCATCTGAAATTGTCATTGCTTTTGATTCGGTTTTAGTCACACTATTTGAATTCTTTTTAAAAATTCTCAAGTGGCTTATACAACTTTAGGCTTATCAAAACAGAGTATTAACTTCTTAAGACTTGAAAAAAATTGACTAGACAAAGTTATTTAACATCAGGACGGCTATCTTTTAAACATTTTGTTAAGCATCACGAGCCTCCTGGTGGAAAATTTCGGACCTAAGACCTGTTCAAATGCTCAAAAGTAAGTGATTTACAGAAAATTTACTAGCATGAGTCATTTCTAGTCTTTTTAAAAAAATAAATTGTTAAAAGAATATAAATACTGTCTTTACTGAAGATGGGAAAGTGAGAATTTCAGGAGCACAGAATGACTTTCTCATTTGCAAAATGAGGATAATAGATTAGATCATCTTTAAGACTCTTTTTGACCTCTGAAATCCAGCTTTACTTTGGAGTAAGAACTTGGTCTTTTAAATTCATATCGATATTTCACTTAATTAATAGTTATTTCATGTAGTCTTTTAAACAAAGTTTATTTTTATGTGGATATCACCAGTTTTTAGGCAGAATAGAAGCACTTGGCTTTCCATGGAAATTGTAATAGCAGTGAAACTAAAACTTTATTAAGCCAGACTAACTTTACAACTCAGTTCGAAATTTGGAATTAAACCTACTTGAGACTTAAGTAGAGGAATAGCTAACACAAGGCCTAACATTAAGAACTCTCTGGTGGGGTACACAGATCATACTAGAATATTTACTCACCCCACTTTATGGTTTCCTCAAGCAGACATCAGATTTATCCCTAGATATGTCACCTGGTCTCATTTCCTGACACATCGTAGTTCATTTGTGGAGATAGGGAAGATACATTTATAATGACCTAGAAGTAGGGACTGGGTGCTAAGTACTAAATACGAATTGTCATTCAATCCTCACGACCAGGTAGATCCATTACACCAGTTTTACAGATCACAAAAATGAGGCCCAGGGAAGCTACGTAGCTTGTCTAACATCACCTAGTTTGTCAATAGTGGAGTTGGATTTGATTCCTGACCATCTAATTTCTCACCAAGCGCTCTTAAGTACCACACTCAAATCTCAATGCAATGCAAATGAACTTTAAACAAACTCAGCTCCTCATATGCCTACACAGAGCAAAGTACTGGGAAGGACTGAGCAAAGTGTTTCTCATTATCTGGGTACAGCCATGCGGTGAGCAGGGCGTGCACCAGCCTCAGGTACAGTTTATCCAGGATGTGCCGTACACATAAAATACACACAAGATTCGATCACAGCATGAAAACAATGTAAAATGTCTCACTAATCATTACATATGGATTTCTTGTTGATATTATAATATTTAGGTTAGATAACTATATTATTTAAATTAATTCCATCTGGTTCTTTTAATTATGATTAACATTTACTGGAAAATGTAATATCACATATATAATTCTTCTACTTGCATTATATTTATATCACATAGTGCTGATCTAAAGTACCGCTTATCAGGTTAATTTTACAATGAGCTACATTTTGGATTTTTATCAGACTAGAGCCACATACAAATGTTCAGCTTGAACACCTCGTTGCTGGAGAACAATGTAACCCATTCAATTCAGTCTCAGGAATGCCAGGCTTATATTCTCCTTAAAATCGATAGCTTCTTAACTCAAAGTTACCGGATAATAAAAGTTATTTTCTCCAAGATAATTATCCTTTTAAAAATGTTCTACCCTTCAATATAAGTCACAGGCTTGCATATTAGTAGCTTTTCTGCAGGCTTCTGCAGCTCATGATATCAGAGGCAGGTCAAGATTTCTTATCACCAAATGGAGCCCATGACGACACCTGTCTGGGCAGACAGAATCCCCTACTGATGGCAGAGTAAGACTGAAGGTCACAGAGGGTGATGCCTGCCTCCTAACCCTGAGGAAATCCTAACAGGTGGACCTGTCTGGCTAAGGTGGGAATATCCTGCATCAATCACACTGACAGATAGGTTGAAGCTTTGTTGCATCTTGGCCAAAAAGCTTTATTTAAATGCACTCAGGTTTGCTTATTTACATTTTGTAGGCTTTTACTATTCTTCCCCATACTTCAAGCATGGTAGTAGTATAATGGTTTATACTCAATTAAAAACAATTTTCAATTTACTGATTATCATTTTTTCAAGCCTGCCTAGTTTCATGTAGAGAGCTAATTTTTACATATATCTTGTAAAAAGTTGGGCTTATATAAAAAAAAAAAATCTGCAAATATGTAGGCATAAAGCAAGAGCCTATAGTAACAGTAAAAAAAAAAAAAAAAGAAAAACATAACAACCTGCCAATTGCTGTGTTGACTTGAACAGTCACCCTTCCACAAGACTGAAATCAGAAGAGCCCTTGTACCACTGCTTGATGTTCTGCAAGCACATACCGCCTCCTCACTGGTGCCACCCATGGAATAAACACAGGCTAAGTGGATAGAACCAAAATCCTCTCGATACAGGGTGAGTGCACGACTGATACTTTAAAGCACTGGATATCTGAGACATTATGTGAGTTTCTTAGTATTGTCTGAAGAGAAGATTTTAAGTGATATAGATGTGGATCCAATTAATAGCCACAGTCAGAAATCCCCAAACTCCAGCTCACCTGCATCACAGCGTAAACAGGGCTTCACTTCCACCCTGGTAGCAAGGGCAGGTTCCCAGGAGGCAGATCCCAGGAGGCAGAGGAAGGAGAGAGCTGTGTGCTGAGAGGAAATGTGTTCCATGGGGAAGACTTCCCCATAGCAGGGCTGGGATCCCCAGTGGGAG